ACGATGCTTAATAAAAAATCAATACTATATTAGCTTTCCTACTGTTTCATAACTTTGCTTTCAAAGAACTGCATTACCATATAGGTACAGTATGCACCCCATCTCTCCCCTACTTCTGTTTCGGCAATTCTGAACTATTTACAGTTCAATAAACACCTCAGTGCAGTGCGCTCCTCTATTCCCACTGTCTTTTCCATCTATACAACATACCCTTCCTCTGCTATCCATGCCCCAACCTCTGTAAATCCCATTAAGCCAATGTTTCTTAACCCTGACATAATTTACATTCTGAGCTGGGTAATTCTCTGTTGTGGTGGGTGCCCTGTTCACTGTAAGATGTTCAACAGCATCCTAGGCCCATACTCACTAGACATCAGTAGCACTCCCCCTAGTTGTGATTCAAATGTGTTCACATATTGCCAAATGAATGCATAAAATATATCTAGATTATATACTAGTCTATTCTTACATAGGCAACTAGGTTTAACCTGGCATCCTACCCTCACACTTTTCTCTTGTTCTCCTAGTATTTGGTTTTTGCAGGTTAAAAAGGAACAAACAGAAATGTCAAAAACCAACCTATTACTATCTGCTCCTTGCTGCGTTCTAACTTTGGACTCTCTGCTGTTCCTCAAATACCTGAGGGTCCTTATACGTGCTGTTCTCTGTTGGGAACACAACTCACCCAGATACTCACATGGCTTACTCCTCAACTCCTTCGGGCCTTTACTTCTGGGGCTGGGGGTGGGGGTGGGGGTGGGGGTCTTCCTGAGCCACCCTACTCTTACTGACAGCGCCTGTTAACATCTAACATATTACATATTTTACTTACTCATCTTGATTATTGCCTCTTTTCTCCATCTTGATCAGTGGTTCTCAAACCTGAGTCTACATCAGTCACCTGAAAAGCTTGTTAAAATAATTTCTGAATCAACAAGTCTGCAGAATAGAGCCTAAAAATGTGCATTTCTGACAAGTTCCCAGGTGATGCAGAGGTTACAGGGACCACAGTTTGAGAACCAAGGTTTTGGAACGTTAGTTCCATGAGGACAGAGATTTTTGTCCACCTATTCACTGTTTTACTTCTATGACCTGGCACACAGTAGGTACTGAGGCAGATAAATGAATTTACTCTGTTCTCAATGCCCCCTCTGATTTCGTCTGCTACATGGTGCCAAAGACTTCCCAGGTGGTGCTAGTGGTAAAAGAACTTGCCTGCCAACGCAGGAGATGTTAAGAGATGTCAGTTCAGTCCCTGGGTTGGGAAGATCCCCTGGAGGCAACCCACTTCAGTCATCCTGACTGGAGAATCTCATGGACAGAGAAGCCTAGTGGGCTACAGTCCAAAGGGTCGCAAAGAGTTGGACGAGACCGAAGTAACTTAATAGGCATGTAGCACGGTGGGCTCTAATTCAGTATGGCTGAAGTCCTTACAAAAAGGGGAGAACACCACACTAAGACAGACCTACAGCGAGAACGCCATGTGACAGCAGGGGCAGAGGCTCGTGTAACACAACTTCAAGCTGAGGAATGCCAGTGACACACACAGCTAAGAGGCACAGAACAGATAACTCCCCAGAAGGTAGGGCGCGGCCCTGTCAACACCTTCATTCAGACTTACAACCTCCAAAACTGTGAAATGATAAATTTCTGTTGTTTTAAATAACTCAGTGTGTTGTACTCTTTGTTATAGCAGCCCTAGGAAGCTAACACAATGACCAAAAATGCAAATGAGTCTATTAAGCTGTACATAGTTTCAAATCTGCCAATTATCCAACCTGTACCAGTTTAAATATTTTAACATGTAGCTTTCATTGTAAACTAATCAGATTTCCTGTTTCAGAATCTCCCTAATTTAATACCACCTCTCTCTGCCCTCAACGTGTCCCTTCAATGTGCCAGGTAGCTCACACTAGAGTCTAGATCACACTTAACTTGGATTTTCTTTTTGGTTTCTTCTACCTTCCTCTAGGCTACCCCATTTCACATATAACAGCTTTGTATTTTTTTCTTCAAGGGATGCTTCTTATTTTCACACATTATAGATTTTGGCCTGCATTTTCCTGTAGGACATCTGAATTAGCTGGAAAATGAAAATTTAAGTACATATTCGATACTCATTTAGATTTCAAGATAAAATGCTAACTTCTCTTTCATGGAAGAATTCTGCATCTCCCCCCGCTCCCAACCCCCTTATTTTAAAAAGAATTCTGCCACATTTCTTCCACTTTGCTATAGTTTTATACTAGCCTCTTTACTAAAATCTCAACAAATATTGTAAAACTAACATGGCTGTATTGGGAAGCTTAAAATTTTAAGTGAATCAGAATTAAATTTCAGCATCAAGTTGTCCATTTTCCATTTAATGTTTGTTTATAGGTGCACTGTCACAAGAATTCCAATTAATAATTTCTCCACACTGAGACTCTAAAATCACCATGGTCCATAAAGTGTATAAGTTGTATAATACAATTTTTATGTTAGTGAGCACAATACACAAATAGTAGTACTGCATATACCTAAATGACACACTTTTCTATTTCCAAGACTAAGTGAAGTGAAGTCGCTCAGTTGTGTCTGACTCTTTGCGACCCCATGAACTAATGTAGCTCACCAGGCTCCTCCATCCATGGGATTCTCCAGGCAAGAATACTGTAGTGGGTTGCCATCATAATTGATATGTACTCCTAAATGACTTTGTGATATTCTAATAATTTCTGGATACTTAGTTTACTCAGAAATACAAACTAGTACAATCAGTACCCCCCAGAAAGCATATGTAAGGGAATATCTATCTTTAAATGGGTAGTACCCACAAAATATTTTAAAAATGCTGAACCCAAAGTAAAAAGATACAGAAAAACACAAATTTGAGGGAAATTTAAGAGAAACATCTAATAGTTCTTCACCATAACTAAAAAACCACACACTTTTCCTGTGAAGAATTTTAAGTGAGTCATACTTTCCTTACTAAATCACTGTCTTACTTAACATATGGTAAAAAGCGTTAACTGTTTGGTAGCTTTAAACTTTACATTCAATTAAACTGTACATTAATATACACTAAGGCTGGCAGAAAATGAAATAAATACAATTACTATACACAATACTTAGAACACATATCATGTGCACAAGGATCATTTGACATTTATTTGATAAAAGTGTAAAAAGTTAGTTTTACCTCCTAAATACTCAGATTCCCACCCTCTAAACTAACTCCAGAATTAAATAACTTGAAGTTACCCAGGCAGAGCTATCTATATTCAGTGCCCAATTTCTGGTAAATGAACACATTTCTGTCCGTTTCACATTGGCCTAATTACTCACTCACTCTATTGCATTAAATTCTAACTTTTTAACTAAGTTTTAAAATCACGATGAAACCAATTCATGGTTAGGATAAACAGTGTTCAATCTGAAATGCTCTAAAACGATATAGCACAATAACTACAAGGCACTGAGAGAACTAGATTCTAAATCTCCAGTCAACTTTTCCAAGGCGTGTGATGTTTAAGTTCCAGTCTTTTGAAAATAAAGAGAGAGGGTAAGTGCTGGGCAAGAATAAATCCCCACCCCTACATTTCGCTCAATTTCTGAGCAGACAATGTATCCAAATTCAAAGCCGTAAAGTCAGTTTGTCAGCACCTACTAATCCCATCACACCTGGTGGGAGAGGAAGGCGGGAAGGAGAAAACTCGTCCTGCGTCCTTCACGGAGCAGTGCCCCAACACACCTGCCTAGCTTATTCTGCCAGAGGCAGGGGAATTTAAAAAGAACAAATCAGCCAGACAAACCTGATGATCCAGAGAGCTCAGAGGCAGTCCCCCAGCACTTGCGCAAGGCTCCGGCTCGCTGGGCGCTGGCGCGACGCGGCAGCCCGGCGGCTCTCCTGGAAGGTGCCCACACCTGAGCGCCCGCAGCTCCGCGGGGGGAGGGCCCGGCGGGGCAGGACCGCTAAGTGGTCCAGCCGCGCGGTCCGGAGCGCAGCCCGCGCCTCACCGTCGCCACCCGACGGCAGGCGGCGCGCGAAGAGGCGAGGGGCACCCGAGGGCGAAAGGGAAGGACCTGCGACTAACAGGAGGTTACAAGTCAACAAAATAGCGGCCCGGCGGGCAGGCGGCCCCAAAGGCAGTTCGCGGAGACGCCGGGAGCAGGAAGTGCCCCGCGCCTCCCTCAGGAGCCCGCACGTCCCCAGACCCGGCACCGACTCCGAGACACCTGTTTGGCGGCGCCAGGGGTGGGGTTCCACCCTCCACGCTCCCCCCACATTCACTCTCCCAGAGGGAAGGGCAAGGGGACCCGAGACCTTGGACCCACAGCCTGAGGGCGCCTCCGCCGGCCGTACCTGACATCAGCCTCGGCTCCCTCTCGCCCCTCCTGGGGGGCGGAGAGGGGGACGACACGAGACCGGCGACCTCCGCTCTGCTGGGCAGCCGCAGAAGTGGCTCGTGGCTGCTGGCCGGGGCCGCCCGCTGCCCCAAGTCAACTTTTTCACTCTCCTCATCGAGAGGCTCTTTAGTTCTTCTTCACTTTCTGCCATAAAGGTGGGGTCATCTGCGTATCTGAGGTTATTAGTATTTCTCCTGTCAATCTTGATTCCAGCTTGTGCTTCATCAAGCCCATCATTTCACATGATGTACTTTGCATCTAAGTTAAATAAACAGGGTGACAATATACGGCCTTGATGTGCTCCTTTCCCAATTTATATGGTCATAAGTTAATGACCATATAAATTAATGACCATATAAATGTAAATTTACTTCTGGGCTCAGCCCCTCCCCGCAGCGCGTTCCGGCCACGGGCCGCCGACGGCGCAGCCGCCACCCAGGGGTCTCCTAGCGCTGACGTCATCGCCGCCTCACCAGCCCCAGGGAAGGGCGGAGCGAGAGGGGGCAGGGTGGGGCGGGGCTACGGCGACGTGCGGGCGCGGGGATTGGCGGCCGAGCGCACGCCCCGCCCTTGTGCGAAGGGGTCTGGGAAGTCTCATCTTCTATGAGGGGTAGTCACAGCCCACTTGCGGCACCTCAGTGGAGGCCTCCACCTTCCTCGCGGTGCTGTAGGGTCTTGCGCTAGCTTCCGGACCTTGAGAGGGTCCAAAGCAGTGAAACATCAGGGAACAGGGCTGCGAATACCCTTGGGACCTTTGTCCAAGAAACAGGCTCTTCCCTCTCAGGAGTCTTATGGCCTCTAGCCTGCTTTTAAACCGTTCTTTTTACCCCTGTTATCCCCTCCTCCCGACTCTCTTAACTCAGTACCTCTCTGGCCTTAATGAGAGGAAATAACGCAAGATGAGGTACGCAAACGAGTGTGGGATAACCAGGTATGTGAATGAGCAGAGGCTGAGAACCCAATTAATGATACCACAGAGCCTGCTGAAGGCACACATGGGCTTTGGTTCTGTCATTACTTCACCGCTGTCAGGCAGTGGCCGGAAGTTTCTTCGGAGCTCTCCAAAACCTCACCGCCTCACCTTTGGTCGGCAAAGGAACTTTGTGTCAGAAAACTGTTTTTGGATTAGAAAGCGAGGAGCCCTCGAGCGATTGAGACAGCCGCACAGCAGTCAGGAGGTGGGATCAAGTCTTGCCTTTATTGGTGTTATCTACAAAGTCTAGTTTGAAGGTGAGAAAACTACCCTGCTTCCTAGGCAGTTCTTTAGTGCCTTGGCCTCTGGGCTGGAATCTTGATTCCCGCCAGCTATTAGCTGTGTAACCTTGGCAAGTTACTTTGAACGCGCTGGAGAGGAATAGTAAACAATGTAAATAAAGTATTGTTGTTCCCTTTTATTTGTTTAGATTCAGCTTTAGTGTAGTTTACCAGGATATATCATTAATAGGTCCGAAAGAATCTTCGGGAAGAACTTTAAAACGTCTAGATTCTTATTAAACCTCTCATTTTTTCAGATGAGAAAACTGTGGTCAGAAAGGTAAACTGAGAAGCCTGTTTTGGAAGAGAAGTGCAAGTATGTGATATCCAGGTTAGTGCTCTTTCTCTGGGCGATGCCTCCAGACTTCTCTGTTGGATCCTCACCTCCATCTCTTCTCTCTTCTCCAGCGTGTATGTAATTATTGCCCACCTTCACGCCCTATGCCTTCCACAGCCACTGTGAGACAGGGATAAGAGACCCTTCGAGGTCAAAGTGTACCAAATAGAAAGCAAAATAGAACAAAATGCCTCAGGATTCTTATTTTAATTTTATTAAAATTTGTAAGGAATAAGGAATAATCTTTTTTACAGTGAGCAAATATAGGAAACCCTTCCAAGGGTAAGCTCAGCTACAGCATGTCTAAGATAATTTTCTTAGTGGCAAGAAGGTATGTTGATAGAACTACCAGATCAAATCAGGCCCCTCCTACCCTTCTGGGTATTATTGAAAATAGTTATTGTTTTCATGAAAGCAATGTACACTTATTCAAACAAATATAAAAAAAAATTTCCAAATGCCATAATTCAGAGATAACAATTTTTAAAAATTCATGTTATACTCCAGACATCTCTAAAAATAAAAATATATAAAGGTATAGTAATACAGTGTATATAAACTGGATTTTATTATATACACAGTTCTTTTTTCATGAAAAATATATCATGAATAACATCATTTTTAAAAGTCGCATAGTGTGAAGTGGATGTACCATCATTTATCTAACCAGTATTCTATTGATTCATTTCTGGTTTTTCCCCCAAATGTTTACTATTTTAAACAACTCTGTGATGAGTTTCTTAATGCATGTACCTTTGCACAACTGTACAGCTGTCTTCTTGAATAAATTCCTTGAAATGACATTAATGTCAGCCAATTTTTCTTCGTTATCAACTAGAAAAAAAGAAAACTGTGGTTACTTTGAAAAATATAATTTACACGTGAGACGCAAAATGACCAGATTCTCCCATTTGAAACACAGATTAACCTTGAACAGTATGTTTATCTATCTGGAGTGTGTTTCAGTAACGTGTGTCAAAGCTCCTTGAAGCAGAATAATGTGTGTCACAGCTCCTTGGAGCAAGGTGATAGAGACTGAAAGTTGATTCAACCAAAATCCTTTCTCTATTGCTTGCAGAACTCTGACTTTTTTTCAGGGTGACTGTGTCCAATTAAAAATACTTGTTTACTCAGGCTCTTATAAGCCATGGTTTCCCATGTGACCTGTCAGCAGAATGAAAGTAGATGTTGCTAGGAGAGGCTCAAAGTTTTATGGAAGAAATTTCCTGTTAGCCATTGGACCTATACCTGTCCTTTATCTTACCTGGAACAGTGATATGATGTTAGATGTGGAGCAGCCCTATTTCAACCACAGTAGCAAAATTTCATGCACTAGAGAAGGAAATGGCAGCCCGCTCCAGTATTCTTGCCTGGAGAATCCCAGGGACGGGAGCCTGGTGGGCTGCCGTGTATGGGGTCACACAGAGTTGGACACGACTGACGTGATTTAGCAGCTGCAGCAGCAGCAGCAGCAAAATAATAGCATAGCCAGAGGGACTGGTTTGTGATTGCTTTGAAGGGTCAGCTTATCAGCCCTGGTCTCCTCACTTCTGGGTTTGTTGTTATATGAAGGGGTTTGTTGTTGTATGAAGGAAAATAAATCCGTTCTCTTTAAGGTTTTTGTTGTTTTTGTTATAAGCACTGAATAAAATTCCTAATTGGTATAAAAAGATGGAAAAAGTCATTATTTATTTAGCACTATAGGTAGAATTTTTTAATAAACAGGGTAAGATGAAAATGGGAACACAGAATGGAAACAAGCAAAAACCACTCTCTAATAAACTTAGTTTTCCTTTAAATATCCAAATATTACAATTAGATTAACAACTCTTTAGTAATAAATTTAATATAGATTAAATTCTGTAAATTATATAATAATGTATAGATTAAATGGACTTCCCTTGTGGCTCAGATGTAAAGCGTCTGCCTACAGTGTGGGAGACCTGATTTCGATCCCTGGGTTGGGAAGATCCTCTGGAGAAGGAAATGGCAACCCACTCCAGTACTTTTGCCTGGAAAGTTCCATGGACATAGGATCCTAGTAGGCTATAGTCCGTGGGGTCACAGAGTTGGACATGACTGAGCAACTAAACTTCTAAAACTATAAACTATTTAGAATTTAATATAAAATGAATTTAATTATAAATTAAATTAAAACTACTGGAATAGTAGTTTTAAAATATGTTCACAAGTTCTTTGATACTTCTTTCAAAAATTGAGCTTAATTCCCCTCACCTAGAGTTTGGACTGTACTTAGTGACTTGTTCTCATAAAGGATGTAGAAATACTGTAATGTGACTTCTAAGCGGAAACTTATAAAACATATGCCAGCTCTCTTCTTGTTCTCTCTGGGATTGCTCACTGGGGAAAGGTAATTGTCATGTCATAAGGACACTCAGCAACTTAGAGAGAGGCCCATGTTATGAATAACTAAGGCTTCCAGCCAACATTCAGTGAGGAACTGAGAATGCCTGAAAACAGCCATGTGAGTGAATTTGGAAGCAGATCCTTCAGCCTAGCCAAGCCTTCAGATGACTACATCCCTTGTCAGTATCTTTATTGTACCCGAAGAGAGTTCATGAACCAAAATCAGTCAGCTTAGCCACTCCCAAATTCAAGTCTGCAGGAACTGTAAAATAATGAATGTTTGTTGTTATAAGCCATTAAATTTTGGGATAATTTGTTGTACAGCAAAAGTAACTAGTAAAAAGCTGGATATAGTGGAGCCTACCTAGCAGAATCTAGGTATTTGATTATTTGTTGTTTTGAATGAGTGAACAACTGAATGAAGTACAATATAGTATCTTTTTCATTTAAAGGGGAACATTACCATACTTGTATTATTTTTGACCCCTGACACCTGTAGTGTAAAGTTTTTCTAACATGATCATAGGGAGATGAGTTGTGAATCTTACTGAAATCTGAAAAATGACAGTTCTGAAAGAAACATATAATGAATAGTGCAGTGGGACCCTTGAGATGTGAATGATGCTCCCAGTTTTTTGTTTGTTTGTTTGTTTTTTACTTTTATTTGCATTTTTTTTTTTGCAGCATTTATTCCTGGGCCGTACGTTTTTGTTTCTTCAACTTCTTCTGGGACATCTTTTTCTTCTGTGCCACCTTCTCTTCTGGTTTAGGAACAGTCTGTTCTTTTTCAGTAAGGATCTCAGTTTTATCAATAATTAGCTGAGTATCAAGTTATCAAAGCCCTCTAAACCTCAATTTTCCTATTGATAAATTGGAGAAAGCAGTCCTGACTGGCCTCAAAAGGTAGTCAGTGGGATTATATGTGACAGGGATTATATCATTCTTTTAATTACATTAGATTCATAAGTTAAATATTTTAGGAGTGTGTACCATGGAAACTTTTCTTTTGAGAAGTGATAACAAATAACTAATTTTGCTGATGGCTCAAATGGTAAAGAATCCACCTGCAATGCAAGAGATGGTGTTTCAATCCCTGGGTCAGGAAGATCCCCTGGAGAAGGGAATGGCTACCCACTCTGGTATTCTTGCCTGGAGAACTCCATGGACAGAGGAGCCTGACATGGGGTCACAAAGTGTTGGACACGACTAACACTTTGTAAAATATTAGTATTGTTCATAGTAAGAAGTTAGGATTTAAGAGTATAGCAGGATGGCTAGTTATTATACGTCAGATCTCATTTTATTACCCTGTTGAAATTTTATTGCCTATTTAAAAGAATAAATAACTATGACTGGCTCCTTTCTCTTTTCAAAAATTAATTTGTAATTGTGGTTGGGTGTGTGTCCCTCTTTATGGTAACAGTAGTTAAACATACTTAGTAATAAACATACATTTAACCAATAATTTGAGTCTAAGCTTTTATTTTAGAGCAAAATTGCACCCAACAGCAAGAAAATAAATAGTAGAAAACATGTATTTCTCTTTCAGAGAGGAAGACTTGGGCACAAAAGGGAAAGCACTATATAATGGAACATCAGAAGTAGAGATTATGCAATTACAGGCAATGTACAATTTGGTGGTGTGGCTAGGTCCAGAGGTAAATATATGAGGATGAGTAAGACAAGACTTAAGTGTAAGATTTAAGTCTTGATAATGTAATGGATGAATTGTCCATACTTCCAGGTTTTGTTGTGTTTTCTGCTCCTCAGCTGTAACTCTAAACTAGATGAAACTACAGACTAAACTAGATATCAGAGTATTTGTGGTTGTAGATGACCCCAACTAGCTACCATCTTTATTAACTTGAATAGGAAGAAGAACCCTAGAAAAAAGAGACAGAACTTCCTTCTCTGGAGACAGCATGCTTTTCAATGGAGCTTCTCATTTCGTTAAAAATTCCTGCTAGGATACAGTATTTTCATTCTGTGGAACCTGAGAGAGCATTTTCCAAACAGTTTTTTTTTCCTTGCAGCTACATGTGCACAAAATCAACCAAGATTTTGAGATAGTCGGAAAGGCTAGTGTTATTGTCTGAATAGACTGACATGTGAAGGGGATAAAGGTGGAGAACAGAGGAGGAGATAAAGAAAAAAGGAAAGTCTAGGAAATACTTTTAACCTCAAGGAAAGAGGACTCAGCATGAGTCACAAGTTATTAGCTTGAAAGCAGAGTCTGCCACGTGTGCACTGAGGAACCAGAGAAATAGTCTCAGCTTAGAAGGTTGGACTCCCTGGGGTTATCCTGTGTTGCTCTAGTTCCCTGGAATAAGCATCAGAATATGCCTTAATTATTTTCCCTGGTGGCTCAACAAAAGCAGAAAACATTTGTTGTAAATGAAGTAGGTGATGCTTTAGAATCCCTAAGCAGTAAATTATTTATAAATGTGTTCATTACCTCTGTTAGTGTAAAAAACGGACAAATTTTAGCTATGTAAAGTGGCACAATTTTTTTCTTTTTTCTCTTAAGTTTTGTTTAAAGGTTTTTAGATCTAGGAATGGGTTGGATAGATACTTTGTTGGCTTTCTGTCCATTATCCATTAAGAAGAGCTCTCTTGCTTTCCCTTTT